TATCGAATAGGTAGGTAGTTGTAATAATTCGAGAAACAAAAACTGTCCTTGTGCTCATTGAGATTAGTTTATATATCAGTTTTCGACTTGAAAATAACAGTTTTTTAGAGAAGGAAATATATCTCTGAAAGCAATTTAAATGAGTTAGGAAATAATGCACACACAGGTGTTACACCTAGGTGCATCTTTAAATAGAATATACATGTAGGAATATTTGTATGGAACATGTATGTATGATATATATTGTAATGAATTGTATTAAATGTATTAAATTTGAAAAGATGATTCCTTTTTTGTAATGGGCCTGTTCCTGTGAACATTTTCAATTCATTATTTAGAAGTTATAACCCTAATCAGTTCACTCTCATTAACCGTTTTCCTCCAGAGCTCTGTACATTTCATGAATAATTATAGAAATTTGCGATATTTCGTGACATGAAAAACGCGGGAAAACGCGTGACGTAATCATCCGAAAATGTTCGCATGGATATCTATTCTTCTTGTCTTTTAGACAAGTGCAAAAATATTTTGACCGACCCTGGAGGTAAAACATTAAAACACAACCTCACTTTTCATTAAACCATTGAAACATAACCTCACTTCAGAGGAATCAAAGGATTGAAATAGTTTCTTACAATATTTAAGCATAGAAATCGTGGTTTCTAGGCTATTCATTAATTTTAGCATGCTATTACATTGTGCTGTTGTACAATAATGCACAAAAAATGCAGCGAGATACGAAAGAATATGATTTCTCAGGTAAATAGTGATATCACATAGTTTTCATTATGAAATGTTGTAATTTTTCCTTCGAATTCCTTCCGCCACTGTTGCAATAGGAGCTAATACTGCTGATAGAGTGATAAATACTGCTACTAGAGTGAAAGACTCACACGATCATATTTCGTCAGCATGTCTACTAGTCCTACCGTTTGATTCTCTGTTTGATTGCCTTCTTTCAGAAACAGAACAGAAAAGGATGTACTGGACGTCATCAAGAATAAACAACGTTGTGACGGTTGGTTATTTGGGTTGAGACGCATACCTGATTATTTGTTTCCGATTTCAGCAGATTTGGCATTTCATACCCATGCTGGAGATATAAATACACCTAATTATAGTTGAGTATAATTATAAACATCTCAGGAAAGTATTTTTGTTTTGATCAGAGAAGCCTTCGAGATTCAAATACTTGCTTGATCTGTATATCATTCGTTATTCTCGGGATGGATAACTTGTTTTTGAATAATCACGGCATGCAATAGTTTTTTCGTCTCAAACAACGATATTGTTTAGCTTCATCTGATTATCAAGTCAAACACAGTGTAGTATGGAGAGGAATAAATAATCACTATTATCATTGTTGATATGCTCACTAACCTAACATTTTCCACTTCTTGTTCCTATAGCTGGCACTGGCGCGGTATTTGCCATTAGAGCACCAGGTCCATACACAAATATGTCACTCTGTGGTTGTATTTATATTGAAACTACAATTCGAACATCCTTGAAAGCCCAACCTGCTGTTAATGCAGGTAGAATATTCTCACCACACGGATTATTTGTCAATATTTGTTGCATTGCATACATATGGCACGGCAATGGTGGTTACTTCATATGTTTATTTGAGTTAATTGTTTCGGTTGCAGAAAAAATAGCATGTTTCATCCAAATCAAAAGTGACTTTGTTCGACTCGCAAATTTTGCTTTCGCTCGGCTTCGCTAAACGCTTCGCCTCGCAAATGCAAAATTTGCTTGTCAAATAAAGTGTCTTTTTTGATCCTTATGAAACAATCTACTATTTTCTCCTCAGACGGTACTCGCCCTAGACTCTAGTGAATTTTGTAGACTGAATTCTTATTGCAGATAACAGAGAACTCACCACACATTCGAAAAATCAGGTAATGGATGAAATATCTTTGAATAATCGCATCTTGACCATATACGTATTAATAATCAATACGGATAATCTCTATCTGTTTCCATAGCGAATCATGAAGCCGATTTTTGAAGACAAATGACTATCCATAAGGAAGAGTTTTGAAACGATCAGACACATACTGCTTTGATTTAAAGGCTAGTAAACGTCATTGTCCACCGAAACGCATGTCTTTGATGACTACTATAATAGCGCATGGCGCATGCGTATCATGCCACCAAATCCTTATGGATATTCATTTGTTTCATATTTTTGGCTTCATCCTGGCACCCGTTATGATCCGTATTGTTTATTAATACGTATATGATCTTGACTAGATGAAACAATGATTTGCAGGTGAAGGTGACGTTAGAAAGTTAGGTTGACAATGCAGTTCGTCTTCTTCTTCTCTTCTCGTATTTCCGGGAACTCTAGGCATTACTCTGTCGCCAGTACGAAAAAATGATTTGGGTTTGAATAAAAACTCAGGAATACCAAAATATTCTCATTGTAACTGAAACTTCTTGCGGGTACATGAGTATTCAATGAGTGATTATTACTGTGTGTGAATACTATTGTCATTGGTCATATTGAATCTCATAAGGTAATTACTAGTCACTAATCTGGTAGCGTCTAAATATTATGTGATCTTACTGACGAAAGCCAGAATTTAAATAAGGATGACTCTTGATTCGGTTCATGACGTCATCGAAGCTGGCTTTTTTGAGGGTGCCAAAGTTCATTATTAGAAAAAATGTATTTGCGAAGATTTTGCATATGGAATGATTGCATCAAATACTATTCATGAACAGAATGATCAATTTTAAATAGGTCTGTGGCGTAAACTTGACTTGTGTGTACAACCCTATTTCAAAATATCCGAAATAACCAATAACGAACACTCAACTGGATAACCCTGTATTTGATCAATGGGACAAACTACCGATTCACACGAGAACAACGAGACGAGACTTTCATAAAGTCTCGTCCCGTCTTGCCGATGAAATATGAAGTCTTGACTCGAGATTCGTCTCGCAGCCCCAAGTCTCGTCTTGTCTCGCGTCTCGTACGAGAGTCTCGCAAGGTATCGCAATTTCGTCATGCATAATCTTGTTCCAGTCTAGTACGGAATATTTACCTTCACCTACTTTTCAGGAATAATGTAGAAGTAGGAAGAGAAAATTACAACAAAAATAACATTATATTTATTGAAAAGTAAGTACCCAATAGGTACATACTTACATCATACATCTGAACAAAAAAAAAATAGCCCTATATATTCGAAAGTTATAAAAATTGAATAAAAAGTAACACGTGTATTCTAAACAAAAACTTTAATCCAACATTATTTTACTTATTTGAGTAATAGGTATCCAAGAAAATAGTTATTTTCTGCAACCGACACAAAAGTCGTCCAATTTTGATACCAAAATTAGCTCTTAAACTGACGTTTCTATTACTGACACAAAAATAGGTATGTTGCTAGGCAACATATTTAGTTCCTAGGAGCTAAAGTTGAATTTTAGTTCCTAGGAGCTGAAGTTTAACTTTAGCTCCTAGGAACTAAAAATGATCCACTGGATGTCATCAAGAATACACAACATTGTGACGGTTGGTTATTTGGGTTGAGAGGCATACCTGATTTGTTCCCGATTTCAGCAGATTTGGCATTTCATACCCATGCTGGAGATATAAATACACCTTATTATAGTTTAGTGTTGGAATTATTAACATCTCAGTTGAGTATTTCTGTTTTGATCAAGGAAGCCTTCAAGATTCAAATACTTGCTTGATCTGTATTTCATTCGTTATTCTCGGGATGGATAAATTGTTTTTGGATAATCACGGCAAGCAATAGTTTTCTGTCTCAAACAACGATATTGTTAACCTTCATTTGATTATCAAGCGACAAACCTTGTATTACGGAGAGGAAAAAATAATTGCTCTTCTTATTGTTGATGTGCTCACTAACCTAACATTTTCCAAATCTTGTTTCTATAGCTGGCACTGACGCGGTATTTGCCATTAGAGCACCTGGTCCATACACAAATATGTCACTCTGTGATTGTATTTATATTGAAACTACAATTCGAACATCCTTGAGAATTGAATGAACCTGCTGTTGATGCAGGTAGAATGTTCTCACCACACGGATTATTTTTCAATATTTGTTGCATTGCATACATATGGCACGGTATTGGTGGTAACTTCACATATTTATTTGAGTTATTTGTTTCGGTTGCAGAAAAAATAGCATGTTTCATTCGGATCAAAAGTGATTTTGTTCGACTCGCAAATTTTGCTTTCGCTCGGCTTCGCTAAACGCTCCGCCTCGCAAATGCAAAATTCGCTTGTCAAACAAAGTGTCACTTTTGATCCTAATAAAACAATCTACTATTTGTTCAACTAGACAGAAAAGTAGTAAAACTACATTTGCTGCCGTGTGGAACATAGAATTTTTTCTCCAAATGATATGAAACCAATTTTGTGTAATTTTTTTATTGAAAACTCCATCATTTTGTGTTCACTCAATGTCAGTGTCAATTTTGATTACTAATTTCATGAGAATTTCTCGGAACGTTGCATACCACCAAATGTTTTCTGCCTAGGCAGTTAAAGTACACCTTTTCTGCCTGCTAAGCAGTAGGAAGAAGCCACTATCCCTGCCGCTTGGAGAAAAAACCATTATCAGTCAGATCAGCCTTCACGATCGCAAATGTTTTTATTCTTCAACCAGTCGTTAAAACATAACAAACATCGTGCATATTCATTAGATGTTTTTTATAGAATTCTTTCTAAATATGTTTTATTATGAATGAAATTCTCAAGTCTGCAGTCAACACGCAGAAATATTTACCTGCGAGACTCTCGCACGAGACACGAGACTCTCGAAAACGAGACTCTCGCGGGCACCCCTAGGACAAACAAAACATCTTCTGATTCTCATAAATTTCGTTTCAGATCATCTGGTGAATATGTCGTGCCAATCAGAGGAAACATCTGAACAACCCTCCAGTTCCATGCCAACCCAACATCTTCTGCGGCACACAACTCCGTGAGACCATCAGGGCAACTCATACCCATGGATGGTATCATGAACGGGACTTCGCTAGACGAAGACTACTTCAGATTGAACGTCACAGTGGATCAATGTAAATCGCAGTTCTACAACGAATCGCTTCCGGAGCTTTATCCTCAAGGATTTTGCAGAGTCACATCCGACAGCGTGTTGTGCTGGCCTCCCACTCCGATCAATCAAACCGCGACGATCAAGTGCTTCTCGGAGCTGTTCAACATCAGATATGACGATACACGTGAGTTACATGATTGTTATACAAGGTGTTTCATCTCGAGTGACATTCCGAATGCCTAAAGCACCAATGAGCCCTTACCTTTTGACAAACGAGTTTTTGTTTCAAGAGATAACACTTTTTTGTTTGTTCATATATTGTCAGAGTATGATATTTGTAAATATTGTCAAAATATGATATTTGTAAACACTTTGAACATTTTTTCCGAATTGACACTCCTAGAAGTACGAAAAGAAATTGTTCTACAATTGTAGACATTTGTAGTCAATGAAACATATTATTATATTGATTGAAGAACGAGAGAACAATGGTTACATGAAATCGAATATCAAAGAAAACTATTCAATCCAAATCAACCTTGTGAAATTTTTCAAAAATGTTGCGATTTTTTCAAAGACACAAATGTACCTCACGTTCAGTGCAAATATATCGAGTGTTTTCCTGCATCGAACATGTTTACATCTCTTTGGTAGGGACACTCCAGTGTGCTCTAATATATGATTCACATTGTCCAACAGGTACATCTGCAAGTAGTGGCCTCACTTCAGTTCTATTTCGACTCGGCTGTACTGGAACGTTTGATGGCCTTCCTACCCTATACCTTTTTTCTGGAAATGGCATTTTGAAATTTCTGATGCGCACCTCCCCTCTTTCAATCATGAAGTGAAATAACTCTAGAATATTTTTTGCTGACCGATCAAGCAGCTGAGAGTCTCTTATGTACTCTGTTCACTGATTTTTCATTGCCATAAACACCGCATGAAATATCATCCTCAGTGTCTATTTCAAACAGATAATCGATTCGTTGAATAAAGATGTCTACAATTGTAGACACGTGATGTTAGGGGCCTGTCACAATCCCTAAGCGGAATATTTCACGAAAATATATGTAAAGGCATCAAGATGAATCATTTATGATTGAAAAAAAAAACACTACCTGGATAACTAGAAAAATTCAATATAATTGAAGATTTATAAGAACTTACATGGATGGAACGTGAGACAAAGTTAACATGATGCACGCTGCAATATACCTTACTAATTGTTCAGTAATCGCTAACTAACTGACATATTATTATGAGCAGTGACGTCTACGAATGTATTCAGTGTTGTATGAACGCGACACGTAGCGAGTTGTTGGTATCACGAATACTGGAAAGTTTGTGTCTACAATTGTAGACATCGTGAATCAAAGGGTTAAAAACCCATTTAGCCCTGAAACTCTCCCTTATCAGGAAATGATTCGATTTCTCGTGATTATTGTTGAGTAGACCCAGCTAACATTGAAACATGGGCCATTACTTTCAGAGCAACGGAACTATCATTGGCCTGAAATCGTAATTTTTCAATGGTAAATCATAAAAGTTGCCCACTGGCTGACTTAACGCCAATATTAGCAAAGCAGTACTTCCGTTTATTGCTTATTCAAACTGATGCTGGCCGAATCATTTTCGATCTTAATGAGAACTTTTTATTATACAGGGTGTTATTTAAGTACGTGGCCAAACTTAAAGGGGTGATTCTTTGAGTGATTCTAAGACGAAAAGTTCATGTAAACATAGGTCCGGTAATGCTTCGTTTTCAAGATACAGGGTGTCAAAATTTTTGAAAGAAATCGTTTTTTTCGTAAATATCTTAATAACAATTCAACCGATTTAATTGAAATTTGACAGTGTTGTTTAAGATCGTGAAGGGCTAATTTAACCCTAATTATATCAAAATTATCATGTCCAGTGGCGTCCCGGAAGGCACTGTAACCAATATTTTTGACAGAAAAAATGTGCGCCACTGATTTTTTTGCCATTTTTGTATTTGTTTCACATTGAGAAACAGTAATTACTACTTTTTCATCACCAGAATTTTTTTCGTATCTTGCTTTGTTTTTGAGAAAAAACATAAAAATCACTTCATTGCACATCCCTGTGACGAGCCGAAGGCAAGTGCTGCAATTCATACATACATATTTTTTGTTTTTTTCATTGCATTAATTTTGATAGAAAATTCCAAGACTAGAAAAGAGTATTGATATGAAAAAATATTAGTAAGACCCCAGTTTTTGATGGTTTAGTAGTTGAAATGTTTTATTGTGTTGTCACAGGGATGTGCTATGAAGTGATTTTTATGTTTTTTCTCAAATACAAAGCAAGATACGAAAAAAATTCTAGATATAAAAAAGTTGTCATTTCAGTTTCTCAATGTGAAACAAATACAAAAATTGCAAAAAAAAACAGTGGCGCACATTTTTTCTGTCAAAAATATTGGTTACAGTGCCTTCCGGGACGCCACTGGACATGATAATTTTGATATAGTTAGGGTTAAATTAGCCCTTTACGACCTTGAATGACACAGCCAAATTTCAATAAAAAAGGTTGAAGGTTTATTAGGATATTTACGAAAAAAACGATTTCTTTTATAAATTTTGACACCCTGTATCTTGAAAACGAAGCATTACCGGACCTATGTTTATATAAACTTTTCGCTTTAGAATCACTCAAAGAATCACCCCTTCAAGTTTGGCCACGTACTCAAATAACACCCTGTATATATGATCCAATCTATTATAACGAGGAAACCCATGCCGATGCTTGAATGATTTTGAAGGCCTCACACTTCGCAATTTTCCCATAAATTGTGACTGCCATGGCTAAACAGTGAGCAAACGAGCAAAGAATCCCTATTCAATGGAACATAACAGGTGAACATTTGTTGCGGCACAGGATCCATATTTTTCTTCAAAATTCGGAAATTCAAGTTGACGAATCCTATATGGTGAACGGGCTTTGTGATGAATAGTAAATCAAAGAATTAGAATTGAACACGCTCTGAATAGTAGTTGAGAGAACGAATTGAACATTATTTTATTAATAGCCTAACTGAAAAGGAGTTATTAAAAAATGAAGAGTAGTTCGAAGAAATGGAAAGGTAGAACGCTGAACTGGGAAGAAGTTATAGATGAATAAATTAATTTGAAAAACTGAAGGAAGAAGCTTTTATTGATAGCCGAACTGAAAAGGAATAGCATTGTAACGTCATCGAGCAAACTTCCACTCTGTTTTTTTTTTGTGGAAGTATGTTGAGCCCATATCTCGAATGTGACCTTATTAAGAACAATGGTGTCTTGAAAATGCCAGCGTACCTGGAGAAACGTTTAATACCCACAATATGAACGGAATCTCATGTCAGTAGTTATAACCTCTGATATAAACACGTGCACCTTATCGTGAGAGGAAATGAACGAGATAATATGAGATAACCCGAGAAAACAGCTCTTCGGTGATGGTATCATATTATGAAAAGACATGTTTGCAAGGAATGTTATTTATCGAGTATGTAGCGAATAATAAGAATCAAATCCAGATGTATACCTGCTTCTATCTTCTATCATTTAATGATCTACTGATCTATGTGTAGGAGATATTCTGGAACATTTCGAGGAGAAGCCAATGATTTGAAAAATTACAACACACTGGCACAAAGTTGAATGTTTTCGACGTCAACAAACCAAGCAAAAAACATATTTTCCCATACACGGAATGAAACATGCTTGCATTTTTTTCAATTCAACTAATTTTTCGTAGTTGCCATAAGCTCAATGGGTGTGACGGCGCAATATCTTTCCCTGTCACACTTATTGAGCTTATAGAAACTCTGAACGCGAATAGCTTCGTAATCGTTTGGAATAACCCAATCAAACCTGGTATTGTTGAATTCTTTGATGATCCCTTACCGATTATGGTATGATATATCGGGAATTCTATATGAAAATCGTAAGTTGATATCTTTTATAAACAAGACACACAAAGTGTCTTGTTTATGAATCTATTCACTTCACTTTGAGATACCATGGACTTCTACCATAGATGATATCTTTTATCTCCTGAAAAACCAAGAGATGAAAAAAATCCAAAATTTCAGCTATAGCTAGAAAACCATATAAAACACCTGGCAAAACGCATACGGTCTGGGGAAACTGGATCGCTCGTATATTAGAATTTTCAACGTTCATGGTACAGTTTGTTCTATTTGTTGCAGGTACTCCAGATGATAATGTTTAGAATGCATTTGAATTAGAATTTTAGACTTTTTGAAAGTTGAGTGAAAGGCAGGACAATGGCGAGTCAATAAGCGCATTCACCAAATACTAGACTAATTCCGCCAAAAAGACTTCAATGAGCATTCACCAAATAATGCACAATAAGTGAAAGAAATTTTTCATCCCTTTTAGAGAATAGAAACAATATTTCGAGATGGTAAAGGATGAACCATGGACGCCCTAGATACATCAGCGCCTTATACAGCGTGTTTCAGAATTCAGCACGTTTTTGGGTTTACATCACACAATATACCGAGTGATTGTGACTATCTACAGCAAGATATACAATTTCAGGGGTCAAGCTCTTTTACACTTCATAGGTGAACTTTTTTGTTAACAATTTTAATTTCATCTAGCAAATTATATAAAAGGATTATCAATTTTTTGTCTTGATAACTGTCACAGAAGCGTGAATTTAATGGGAAACAGAATAGTTTACGTGAAGGATAAGGAATTTATTCTGTATTTTGAAATCTACCAACGACGTACCACAAGAAAGTTTTAGAGGGCGAAAAACTGATTGACCCTCAGAAAGAATATCTATCTGAGTATTCTTACAATCACTTATCATTTTGTATTATGTTAACTCTAGAACGTTACCTATATATTTCTCAAATTTGATCTGAATATCTTGAAAACTGAAGGAGGTATGGGGAAAAATTCAAAAATAACTTGAAACTTGAACGCATTTAGATCGGTTACGTGAAGTTTGCGAAAACATTTTCATGAAAAAACAAATCCCAGTCTGACCTGAGCAATGAGCCTCTGGAATGTTGATACTAAATTTTGAATCAGTCTCTATAACATTGATAGTTGAATTCATTCATCTCCCTTGAACATACAAACAGTATGATAACGAAAAAAGGGAGCTTCAGCAATTCCCTCAAGATTTTACGAAAAACATCTTCCT